AGGACACAAAGGAAGGAGATGGAGGAAAAGAAAAGATTGGACATTGAGTTCAAAACTACAGTTTTAGGTTATTCAACAATATCCTTAAAAAGGCCGATAAAATAAATGAGACCTATGAGGATATGAAAAGGGAGTAACTAGAAATAATAAGGGACCAACAAGAAATTAAGAAAACATTGTCTGAAATAAAAAATATTATACAAAGTCCTAAAAACAGACTGGAAGATCGCAAGAATCAAGACAAAGATTTAGAACACAAAGAGCCAGAGGACACTCCTCTGCAGAAGGGAGAAGATAAAAGAATCCAGAAAGTTGAAGACAATTTCAAGCGAACCAACATCAGAATTATGGGGATTCCAGAAGAGAGAGAGCAAGATACCGAAAGAGTACTAGAAGAAATAGTGACAGAAAACTTCCCCCAACTGGTGAAAGAAATAGACTTACAAGTCCAGGAAGCCCGCAGAACCCCAAACAAAAGGAATCCAAGGAGGACCACACCAAGACATATCATAATTAAAATTCCAAGAGCAAAAGACAAAGAGAGAATATTAAAAGCAGCAAGAGAAAAGCAGGTAGTGACCTATAAAGGAGCACCCATAAGATTGTCAGCTGATTTCTCAACAGAAACCATGCAGGCCAGACGGGAATGGCAAGAAATATTCAAGGTGATGAATAACAAGAACATACAGCCAAAAATAATCTACCCAACAAAGCTATCACTCAGAATCAAAGGACAGATAAAGAGCTTCACAAATAAAAAAAAGCTAAAAGAGTTCATCACCACCAAACCAGAATTATATGAATTGCTGAAGGAGGTTATTTAGGAAGAGGAAGAAGATAAAGATAAAAATTATGATCAACAAATACGTAGCTATCAACAAGTGAATCTAAAAACCAAGGGAATTAAAAAATCTGATGAACAATATTAACTGGTGAATATAATAGAATCAGAGGTATGGAAGGGGAGTGGACTGACGATTCTCAGGGAAAAGGGGGGTGGGGGTGCGGGAAGAGACTGAACAAAAACTGTGCACCTATGGATGAGGACGATGGGGGATGGGGAAAGGACAGAGGGTGGGGTGGGAACCTGGTGAAGGGGAGCAATTGAGGGGGGGGAAGAGGATCACATTTGTAATAATCTGAACAATAAAGATTTATTTAAAAAAAAAAGTTTAAAAAAAAACAAAAAACATCGATGTGAAAAAAACATCGATTAGCTGCTTCCTGCACCCCCCCACTGGGGATGTGCCTGCAACCAAGATACATGCCCTTGACCAGAATCAAACCCTAGACCTTTCAGTCCGCAGGCCGATACTCTATTCAGAGCCAAACTGGTTTTGGCTGTGTTGTTATTTTTTTTAATCTGTTTTTATTGATTTCAGAGAGGGGAAGGGAGAAGGGGAGAAAGGGATGGAATCATCAATGATAAGGGAGAATCATTCATTGGCTTCCTGCTGCATGCCTAGTACTGGGGATTAAGCCCACAACCAGGGCATGTTCCCATACCAGGAATCAAACCATGACCTCCTGGTTCATAGATGATGCTCAAACCCTGGGCCACACTGGCCAGGCTTGACTTGCTTTTAACGTTCTGCATTCCTCTGCCTGGTTCTGTTGCCTATGAGAGGGTATGTCACCACAACAGATGACTAGTTACCACTATGGCTTTTCTGCATTTCATTCCATGGTTCTGTCTCTGATAGAAAGGAGTGCTCAAAATTCAGATCAGCTGAAAGGGAGTTTTCTCCTGGACTGTGTTCACAAAGCACACACCCACACACACCCTCAAGGATCAAATTAACCGCTAATTTGAGAGTATGCTGGTGATGTGGCAAGCAGATGGGAGTGACACACAGGTTAGCAGGGTGAGTGAGCTCATGCGTGTGTGTGTGTGTGTGTGTGTGTGTGTGTAATTCTCTTGTTTTATTATAATTTTAACTTCAATTAAAATAAGTAAATTTTGGATAAAGTGGGAGAGTTTGTAAACGAAAAGGGACCCCATATTAAACCTGGCTTGTTCCCTGGAGGCCTGAATGGCAGCCTTAGCAACTCAGAGTCCTAGGGTAACCACACAGGATAGTCTGAAATGAAATCTAATTAAAAGCAATTCATAGTCGAGACCGGTTTGGCTCAATGGATAGAGCGTTGGCTTGGGGACTGAAGGATCCTGGGTTCGATTCTGGTCAAGGGCATGTACCTTGGTTACGGGCACATCCCCGGTAGGGGGTGTGCAGGAGGCAGCTGGTCGATGTTTCTCTCTCATCAACGTTTCTAGCTCTCTATCTCTCTCCCTTCCTCTCTGTAAAAAAACAATAAAATATATTAAAAAAACAAAAACAAAAACAAAACTGGCCCAGGGTGGGAAGTAGTATCATTCAGCCCAGCCTCCACCCTCTCCAATCAGGGACCCTTAAGGGATGACATCCCTCTCACAGTCTAGATTGCTGGCTCCCAACTGTTTGCCTGTCTCTGCCTGATTTCCCCTAACCGCTTCTGCCTGCCAGCCTGATACCGCCAAATCACTCCCCTGCCAGCCTGATCGATGCCTATTCCCCAGGTCAGCCAATTGCCCAAAACTTCCCTCCCCTGCTTGCCTGGTCACCCCTAACTGTACTTCACTGCAGGCCTGGTCACCTCTAACTGCCCTCCCCTGCTGGTCCGGTCACCCCTAACTGCTCTCCCCTGCAGGCCTGGCACCCACCAACTGCCCACTCCTGCAGGCCTGGTAGCTCCCAACTGCCCTACCTTGCAGGCTAGGGTCCCCCCCCAACTCCCCTCCCGTGCAGGGCTGCTCCCCATAAATTGTCCTCCCCTGCAGGCCTGGACCCCTCAAACTGTCCTCCCCTGTAAGCCTGGGCCCCCAAACTGTCATCCCTGTTTGCCTGGTCTCTCCCAACTGCCCTCCTATACTGACCTGCTCACTCCTAACTGCCCTCTCTGCTGGCCTGATCACCCACAACTGCCCTCCTTTGCAGTCCTGGTCCATCACAAAGTCCTCTCATGCAGGCCTGGTCCGCCACAATTGACCTCCCTTGCTGGCCTGGTCATCCCTAACTGTCCACAACTGCCCTCCCCTGAAGGGCATCTTATGTCCACATGGGGGCATCCAAATTAACCTCATGGTGGAAGGCATATTATGAATGGAGTGATGGTCAATTTGCATATTACTCTTTTATCAGATAGGATGGGCACACGCTAATGCACCACAGTCATGGGTCACAGTTGGAGAGCAGTACAGAGAAATCAGTAAGAGAAATGGCTGAGGTGCAGAGGTAAATATTATTGGGGAGCTGAAAGTTTAAGTGAAAATGAAAATTCCTAGAACAAAATAGTTGGCAAAGTTTCAGCAATGAGGAAAAACAAGTAGATTGAAGAGTGGGCATTAGCAAGAGTAACAAAACACGTACCCATGGCTCTGAGGTGAACATTTAAGAGGCTTCAGAAATATACCAAACCTCTTGGTGATAATCAAAGAGAGTGTGTCCTCAGAAGATAAACATGCCTCAGATCCTCAGGTCTGTGTAAACAACACTCCTGTACACTTTTTTAAATTCTTGTATTATTCTTTTTTAAAATTTTATTTTATTATATATATATATATATATATATATATATATATATACACACACACACACACACACACACACACACACACACATTTTATTGATATTTTTACAGAGAGGAAGAGAGAGGGATAGAGAGTTAGAAACATTGATGAAAGAGAATCATTGATCAGCTGCCTCTTGCACACCCCCTACTGGGGATGTGCCCGCAACCAAGGTACATGCCCTTGTCTGGAATCGAACCCGGGACCTTTTAGTCTGCAGGCTGACGCTCTATCCACTGAGCCAAACCGGTTTCGGCTAAAAATTTATTTTTTAAGGTATTACATATATGTCCTATGGTCCCATTACTTCCACCTCCAAGTCAGCCGCACCCCCTGTTGTCTGTGTCCATGGATTAGGCTTATATGCATGCATATAAGTCCTTTGGTTGAGCTACTGTACACTTTTGCCCAGAAACATTCCTGGATGCACAATTAGATGAGGGACAGTCCATCAAATGGGCTACACTCCCTTCCAAAACCCATTAGGCTATTGTTTTTATAGCGAGAATGTTTCCCTCAACTGCAATGGTCCTCCTACCAGTGACGGTCACCCATGGAACTGAAGGCATTAGGGCACATAGCCCTCTGCAAGACATGGAAAGAGACAGTCTTCAAATATATTGGCATCCCTGAAAAACAAGAAAAATATTGACGCAGCTCGAAGGTATACTTGAGGTTGTCACAGCTATCCCATTGTTGGAGTGATCACTTTGCCTCAAAGCTTCCATCTTCCCATGAGGAAAAGAGAGTTCACAATCTACAGTGTTTATTAGGAAAATATGGGCAGCCATGAAAATGGCTAAGTTAATTTATACACCACACTGTTCAGTCAAGGTCAAAGAATGTTTGAGGCTCCATGAAAGGTTTTCACCTCATCATGTTTGGAGAGCTCAGACCTCCTTATAAGCTAACCCACACAGTAAATAGAACACCCAAGATGAAAGAAGACTTAGGAAAAACCCTTCATTATTTCACAAACCTAAGAGACATGAGATTGGCAGTTCTACATTGATGTCTTCAGAACTCAATAAATCCATCACTGGCATCTAGGGAATGTGTGCCTCTAAAAATGGCAGTTCCTCTGCAATGTTACATTTTGTGGCGCTAACACTAATCAGTCCAATAAATTAGACAACAGTTAGCTTCCTTGGGCACAAGAGGATGGTGATGGATGCCATCGGTAGGATCGTATAAGTGGTACAAATGAAATACCTTAAGTAACAGAAATATGCAGTGAAATAAATCTGGAAACACAACTATGTATTTCAGAAAGTGAAACATAGTTACATATGGGTCCAACATTAAAAAAAAAACCACTCCATAAAAACTTTTATATCATGTAGGTATTTTTAAAAAATATATATTTTTATTGATTTTTTTACAGAGAGGAAGAGAGAGAGATAAAGTATTAGAAACATCAATGAGAGAGAATCATCCATCAGCTGCCTCTTGCACACCCCCCACTGGGGATGTGCCCGCAGCTAAGGTGCATGACCTTAACCATAATCAAACCCAGGATGTTTCAGTCCGCACGCAGATGCTCTATCCATTGAGCCAAACCAGTTTTGGCTCATGTAGGTATTTCAATGGATGAGATTCATTAGTTGTAAAAGATTTCCAACATTCAAGGCATTTATAATGGTTTGTGCCAATGTGTACTTGCTGATGACGAAAAAGGAGAGGGCTGTGGATAAAAGAGTTCCTAGATTCACTGTATTTTTAAGGCTTTTCTCCAGTTTGACTTCTGTGAACACGAAGGTCAGTGCTCCTAGAAAAAGATTTCGCACATTCATTGCATTCATAGAGCCTTTGTCCAGTGTGAAATCTCTGATGATATGGAAGGGAAGTGCTCCTGATAAAAGATTTCCCAGAATTGGTGCATTTATAAGTTTTTTAGAGAGTATGAATTCTGTGATGAACACGGAGGTCACTGCTACTGTAAAAAGATTTCCCACATTCACTGCACTCATAGGGCCTTTCTCCAGTGTGCAATCTCTGATGATATCGAAGGGCAATGCTCCTGATAAAAGATTTCTCACAATCTGTGCATTTATAAGGCCTTTCTCCGGTGTGAACTTTCTGATGACGGTGAAGGTCAGTGCTAGCGCTAAAAGAGTTCCCACATTCACTGCATTTATAAGGCTTTTCTCCAGTGTGAATTCTGTGATGAACACGAAGGTCATTGCTCCTGGAAAAAGATTTCCCACACTTACTGCACTCATAGGGCCTTTCTCCAGTGTGCAATCTCTGATGATATCGAAGGGAAGTGCTCCTGGTAAAAGATTTCCCACATTCAGTGCATTTATTAGTCTTTTCTCCAGTGTGAACTTTCTCATGACAGTGAAGGCCGGTGCTAGTGCTAAAAGATTTTTCACAATTGCTGCATTTATAAGGCTTTAATCCAGTGTGAATTCTCTGATGGTGTTCATGAAGATGACTAGTCCTGTTGAAAGATTTCCCGCATTCATTGCATTGATAAGGCTTTTCTCCAGTATGAAGTCTCTGATGATTACAAAGGGCAGAGCTCTGGGTAAAACACTTCCCACATTCACTGCAATTATAAGGCTTTTCTCCTGTTTGAAGTCTCTGATGATTACAAAGGGCAGAGCTTTGGGTAAAAGATTTCCCACAATCACTATTTATAAGGCTTTTCTCCAGTATGAATTCGCTGGTGATGGGAAAGAGCAGTGCTACTGATAAAAGATTTCCCACATTCATTGCACTCATAAGGCTTTGCTCCTGTGTGCAATCTCTGATGATATCGAAGGGCAATGCTCCTGATAAAAGATTTCTCACAATCTGTGCATTTATAAGGCCTTTCTCCGGTGTGAACTTTCTGATGACGGTGAAGGTCAGTGCTAGCGGTAAAGGAGTTCCCACATTCACTGCATTTATAAGGCTTTTCTCCAGTGTGAATTCTGTGATGAACACGAAGGTCATTGCTCCTGGAAAAAGATTTCCCACACTTACTGCACTCATAGGGCCTTTCTCCAGTGTGCAATCTCTGATGATATCGAAGGGAAGTGCTCCTGGTAAAAGATTTCCCACATTCGGTGCATTTATTAGTCTTTTCTCCAGTGTGAACTTTCTCATGACAGTGAAGGCCAGTGCTAGTGCTAAAAGATTTTTCACAATTGCTGCATTTATAAGGCTTTAATCCAGTGTGAATTCTCTGATGATGTTCATGAAGATGACTAGTCCTGTTGAAAGATTTCCCGCATTCATTGCATTGATAAGGCTTTTCTCCAGTATGAAGTCTCTGATGATTATAAAGGGCAGAGCTCTGGGTAAAACACTTCCCACATTCACTGCAATTATAAGGCTTTTCTCCTGTATGAAGTCTCTGATGTTTACAAAGGGCAGAGCTTTGGGTAAAAGATTTCCCACAATCACTGCATTTATAAAGCTTTTCTCCAGTGTGAATTCTGTGATGAAGACGAAGATTAGTGCTCCTTGTAAAAGATTTCCCACATTCACTGCATTTATAAGGCTTTTCTCCACTGTGGCTGTGTTGGTTAGACGTTATCCCATGCACCAAAAAGTTGGCAATTACATTCTTGTTTGGGGCAAATGCTGTGTTTGCAGGTTCAAATCCTGGTAGGGAACACACAGGAAGCAGGCAATCAATGTTTAGCTCTAACATCCATGTTTCTCACTAGTCCTCTCCCTCTTTTTCTAAAAGCAAAATTTAAAAATTTAAAAAACCAAAAAGAGCATAATTCAAATTTACTAGAAGCTTTATTAAAGAAAAGTAAAAAGCCCTGACTAGGTTTGGCTTGGTGGATATAACTTTAGCCTATGGACTCAAGGGTCCTGGGTTCATTTCCATTGAAGGGCATGTACCTTGGTTGTGGGCACATCCCCAGTGGGAGATGTGCAGGAGGCAGCTGATCAATGTTTCTCTCTCATCAATGTTTTTAACTCTCTATCCCTCTCACTTCCTCTGGGGGGGGGGGGGCGATCAATAAAATATAAGTAAATAAATAAAATCTAGAAATTATAAATAAATAAAAAAGAGAAGGAAAAAAATGATATTACCCCCTACAGTATGAACTACAGGTATAATATGAGATGTTGGCAGATGACATGAATACATAGGAAAAAGTGTCAAGATCCCACTATGAGCTTCTGAAATTAAAAACAAATTTAGAGCCATGGCCACGTGGCTCGCTCTGTGAAAGTGTGGCCCGAATACCCTGAGTTTGTAGGTATGATCTCCCTTCAGGACACATGCAGGGGACAGCCAATGAATGCATAGATAGCAGATCAATGTTTCCCTCTCTATTTCTGTCTATCTCTGTCTCACTTCCTTTCTCTAAAATTAACAAATAGCTGGGACCGGTTTGGCTCAGTGGATAGAGCGTGGGCCTGCGGACTGAAAGGTCCCGGGTTCGATTCCAGACAAGGGCATGTACCTTGGCTGCGGGCACATCCCCAGTGGGGGGTGTGCAGAAGGCGGCTGATCGATGATTCTCTCTCATTGATGTTTCTAACTCTCTATCCCTCTCTCTTCCTCTCTGTGAAAAATCAATAAAATATATTAAAAATAAATAAATACAATTAAATTAACAAATAAAAATTTTGGGAATGTTACAGGATATGAAGCTCCTTTCTTGTAGGAATCTTCATGCATTGGGCCTCTCATCTCTCAATAATAACTCTAAATGTAAATAGTTTAAAGCTCCAATCAAAAGGTGTAGGGTAACTGAATGGATACAAAAACAAGATCCAACTATATGCTGTCTGTAAAAGACCCACCTCAGTCCTAGCTGATTTGGCTTAGTGGATAGAGTGTTGGCCTGTGGACTGAAAGGTCCCGGGTTCAATTCTGGTCAAGGGTACATGCCTGGGTTGTTTGCTCGATCCCCAGTGGGGAAGCCTATCAATGGTTCTCATCATTGATGTTTCTATCTCTCCCTCTCCATTCCTCTCTGAAATAAATAAAAATGTATTTTTTTAAAAAATAAGAGACCCACCTCAAAACAAAAGACACACACTGGGGAAAATGAAAGGATGGAAAAAATTTTTCCATGTAAATGGAAAAAAAAAAAAAGCTGAAATAGCAATACTCAGATCCAACAAAATAGACTTTAAAGCACCATGCAAAGTGAAATAAGCTAGTCAGAGAAAGGTAAATATCATATGATCTCACTTATTTGTAGAATATAATGAACAATATAAACTGACTAGAGGCCCAGGGCATGAAATTTGTGCATGGGTGGTAGGAGTGGTCTTTCAGCCCAGCCTGCACCCTCTCCAATCTGGGACCCCTTGAGGAATGTCCGACTGCCCATTTATGCCCGATCCCACCAAGATCAGGCCTAAATGTGCAGTTACACATCCCTCTCACATTCCAGTAATGTTGGCTCCCAACTGCTCACCTGCCTGCGTTCCCGATTGCTCCTAACTGCTTCTGCCTGGCAGCAATCACCTCCTAACCACTCCCCTGCCAGCCTGATTAATGCCTAACAGCCCTCCCCTGCAGGCCTGGGTCTCCACCCTCAATTGCCCTTCCCTGCAGGCCTGGTAGCCTCCAACTTCCCTCTCTTGCAGGCCTGGAACCTCCCAACTACCTAACCCTGCTAGCCATCTTGTTGTGACCATCGGTGTCCACAAGGGGGCAGGATGTTTGACTACATGGGGGCAGCCATCTTGTGTGTTGGAGTGATGGTCAATCTGCATATTATGCTTTTATTAGATAGGAAAGAGGCCTGGTACATGGGTGGGGCCAGCTGGTTTGCCCTAAAAGGTGTCCCAGATTGGTGGGGGGGGGAGGGGGAGGGTTCCCTTGGGGTATGGGGCAGCCAAGGAGAGCCTAGGTGCCTGTGGTGGTTTGCAGGCCAGCCACACACCTCCATCATCCCAAGCAGAGGCCCTGGTATCTGGCATTTACCGTATTTTTCGGACCATAAGACGCACCGGACCATAAGACGCACCAGTTTTTAGAGAAGGGAAATGAAGAAAAAAAGATTCTGAACCAAATAGTGTCCTAAAATATTTTGTGCATTAAAACCCAACATCACAGTCATAAACACATGTAATCAATCCTGTAAACAACAGCATTTAGAACCATTTAGAACCATTATTAAAAAATACAGTCAGCAAAAGACAAAATGTACTGTAAAACACAATAACAAGAGACTTCAGTAATAAATTAGAATAAAGTTGAAGGTTTATGGTAAAGGTTCTGCTTGTTGTTTTTTTTTTAAAATCAATCTTTATTGTTCATATTGTTACAAAGGTTCCTCATTTCTTCCCCCCTCCAGCAGGCTCCACCCCACCCTCCGCCCCCTCCCCATCCCCAACCGCCCTCACCCACAGGTGCAGTTTATGTTCAGTCTCTTCCTCCCTCCCTTTCCCCGACAGCAAATCCCCCCCAGATAGTAAATCAGTTACTTAGCATTTTCTCATATCAATAATACCACCACATGCCCAATGATACATTTCACACAAAAGACATTTCCAAATAGGTCAACCAGCCTCATCCAGGCCCCACCCAAGGCACTCACAGATCAACACCCCAGCCCTATACTAACTCAACACATCCAGATCTAAGCCTTCATCACTTGATTCAGCAGACCCTCAAGTTCCCACAAAAGTTTCCAGCCATGTCTGAGAGGCAGCCATGGGGCAGGGGCAGGCGAGGAGCGAGCTGTTCCGGGCCTGGCTGCTCCGGGCCTGGCCTCTGTTGCTCTGGTTCGTTCCACAACCAGCTGCTCCGGGTCTGGTCACCGCCGCTCCTGACCTATTGTAGTTGCTCTGAACCTGGCAGCCGCTGCTCCGGGCCTGGACGCACCGGACCCGGCTGCTGCGGGCTTGGCTGCTCCCAGCCTGGCAGCCACTGCTCCAGGCCTGGCTGCACCAGACCCGGCCGCACCAGACCCGGCTGCTCCCAGCCTGGCAACCGCTGCTCCGGGCCTGGCTGCACCAGACCCGACTGCTCCCGGCCTGGCCGCTCCCAGCCTGGCAGCTGCTGCTCCGGGCCTGGCCACACCAGACCCTGCTGCTCTGGGCCCGGCTGCCCCGGGCCCGGCCGCTCTGAGTCTGGCCGCTCCCAGCCTGGATGCTCCGGGCTTGGCTACTGCTGTTCTGGACCTGGCTGCTCCCAACTCAGCTGCTCTGGGCCCGGCTTCTCCGGGCCCGGCCACTCCGGGTCTGGGTGTTCCTGGACTGGCCACCCTGGGCTTGGCTGCCTCCGCCTCAGGCCTGGCTGTCACTGCCCCATGTCTGGCTGCTCCAGTGCTGGCTGTTGTTGCTCTGGTTCTGGCTGCTGCTGCTCTGCGGCCTGGCCATTGCTGCTCTGGGCCCGGATGCCACTGCTTTGTGCCTGGGAACTCTAGGCCTAGCCGCTGCTGTTCCAACATTCTGTGCTTTTTTTTTTTTAAACGCATTTATGTTGCAATGTTGGCTGGTGAGTTGAGTTCTGACTTAGTCTTTGATTTTTCAAGATCTTCTTTGTATTCATTCTTAAGTAATTTTAATATCTTTTGCTCTCACTTGATTTCTTCACATTGAGAACTTTGGTTTCTTCCTCCTTGTCCTGGGAGCTCAGCAGGTTGGCCTGTGGCACCCCTTTGTTCTCCGCGGGCTCCCGCGCTGCTCCAGCCTGTTGCCGTGGTCGGCGCAGCCCAGGAAGCAGCCCCCGGCCTTGGCTCCATTGCCCGGGCTCAGAGGTCGATGGCTCAGGGGCACCCCCCCCTTGGGCCCAGTCGCCCGGGTCCCTGCCGGCGCCCAGCTGGCTGGTGTCCGGCAGGGGCTCCTGCTCCCTGTCGCATTCCTCCAGTCTGGAGCTTTTTTTTTTTCTCCTTCCCGCTAGGGGAGTCTAGGATCAGAGTCAACAGACTGTCCTCTGTGCGCAGTGCGCGAGACTCTGGGGGCTCCGCTTTTCGCCACTCCCCTGGGATTCCGCCTCACAGTCCCATCTCCCCCTGCCCGAGCCTGGGTCCCCAGGGTCTGGTCCAGGACTGGGGTTCAGAGCAGTCCGGACTGAGGCTCAGCGTCGCCGGAGGCTTTGTTTCTTCACGCTAGGGTGATCCAGCATCAGAGTCAACATTCAGTCCTCTGCGTGCAATGTGCGTGTGACTCCGGGGGCTCTGCTTTTCGCTGCTCTCTTGGGAATCTGCCTCACAGCCCCGTCTCCCCCGCTGGAGCCTGGGTCCCCAGGGTCTGGCTCATAACTGGCGCTCAGCGCTGCCGGTTCGGGGGTTTAGCCCAGGCTGGGGGTTTTATTTCCTTCCTGCTAGGGAATGCCAGGCAGCACCCAGCCCTCTCTCCTCTCCGGCTGCGACCTCTCCACGTGCGCGTGCATGCGCGTGCGAGTGCGTGCGAGCGCACAGCATGTCTCCGTACCTTAGGCTTTTTTTTCAGCTCCTCTGATTTTCCTTCTGGTTTTCTCTTTCCTTCTTGTTGTAGAATTTTCGGTCAGTCGACTACCTGTAGCTCTGAGCGATGTCCACTCTACATTTTAGTTGTATTCCATTGAAATTGTTGTGTGCTGCTGTGGTTAGGTGTCTACCCGAGCAGCCATCTTGGACCCTCCAGGTTCTGCTTGTTTTATGAACTCCTCATCGCTAGAGTCAGAATCTAGAAAGCTCAGATCCTCATAACAGGACTTTCGTCATTACTGGTGCTGGTACCAGTATTTTCTTCTTTTTCTTTTTTTTAAATATATTTTATTGATTTTATACAGAGAAGAAGGGAGAGAGATAGAGTTAGAAACATCGATGAGAGAGAGTCATCGATCAGCTGCCTCTTGCACACCCCCTACTGGGGATATACGCGCAACCAAGGTACATGCCCTTGACCGGAATCGAACCCGGGACCCTTCAGTCCCCAAGCCGACGCTCTATCCATTGAGCCAAACCGGTCCCGGAATCCAGTATTTTCATATAACATATCATCTTCAGTCCCATCTAAGGCATTGCTGATGCCACATTTTTTGAAGGAATGTACAATGATCTCATCCTTAACTGAGTCCCATGAGGTTTTCACCCACTCACAAACTTGGGTAATAGTGGGCCTTTTCATTCTTCCAGTACCGGTAGGTGTAAGATCATGATTACCAGCAGCCATCCATTTGTTCCACTCTTCCCTCATAAACACTTTAAATGGTTTATTGATGGACACGTCCAGAGGTTGCAGCTGGCTGGTAAGACCACCGGAAATTACAGCTAAATGAGTTTTGACTTCTCTAAAGTTCTTTTTTGTAGTGTCGGTGATATGTGCTCTGAACTGGTCAAGCACTAACAAGGATGGTTTTTTTAAAAGCCTGCCTGGACGCTTGGACCACACTTTTTCAATCCAGAGCCTCATTCCCTTTTCGTCCATCCATCCTTTGTCATGGACATGCACCACGACTCCCCGAGGAATCGCTTCTTTTGGAAAAGTTTTCCTTTTGAAGATGAGCATTGGTGGCAATTTAGTACCATCTGCACAGCAGGACAACACAAGCGTGTAATGGGTTTTCTCATACCCTGAAGTTTTAACGGTTATAGTTTTTGCTCCTTTGTGGTCTACTGTTCTATTGGATGGCACATCAAAAGTAAGCGGGACTTCATCCATATTTCCAATCTGGCTTAGTTCAAATTGATTCTTCTTTCTGGCATCAATGACGAATTTGTGAAAAGACAAGATCTTTTCTTCGTATTTGTTGGGCATTTTTTGAGCAATTTTTGTTTTGGTGCGCATAGCAAGGCCAGATCGCTTCATGAATCTGTAGCACCATGATGGTGAGCCAGTGAAATTTTGAATTCCTTTTTCCACAGCAATGAGTTTTGCTTTATTTATGATCATTTTTGTGGAGACCAAGAAGCCATTTTCACGGTGATGTGTGATCCACTCCTTTATGTCCACCTCCAACTCTGGCCACTTTGCAGCATGTCCACGTAAAGTGTGCTTACTACTTTTCTCCAACTTTTGCAGCTGATCCTCCTGTTTCCTCCACTCTCTTATCATCTTTTCAGAGGGAGGTGGTCCAAAGTGTCTCTCTGCTGCCCTGTTGCCATGCTCCTTTGCATATTTTATAACTTCCAGTTTGAAACCAACTTTATATGTGCATCTCTTCTGGTTGGACATCTTAGTGAGGGGGCGGTACTGGTACCGGATTTCTGCAAAACCGTAATTAAAGAACTGTAGAAAATACCAATACGGTATGTCTTTTTAATCCTTCCCCCCATATTCCATCAGGTGCTCTCATATCTCTCCCTCCCCCCTCCACACATTTTATTGCAGTCAGGCCCCTTTGACACCTAGTATGCGTTTTTTGTCCGTTTTTCAGTGCATTAACAGACACAATAAAAAAATGGACAGTTACCGCATAAAAAACGCAGCAAAACTGCGTAGGTATATGCGTTTATTTTGCGTTTGTTCTGCAGCAGTTTTAAAGATGCGGCATGCTGCATCTTTTCTGCGTTAACGTCACCATACATCATACTAGTCAATGGGGAAAAAAACACACCGCACAAAAAACGCACAGAAAATGCATAGAAAACGCGTACTACATGCAGCAGAGATTTTAACGCAACAACACAGCTGCATATGTGTGAAAGGGCCCTCAGGCCTAAACACTGTATGTTACCAGTATAGTGGGGGCAAGCTATAGTAGTTTTCAGAATATTGCCTGTATACCGTATGCAGAGACTTTCTGTGATTTTGCAATAACATTTACGGTACTGTGTTAAAACACTTTCCAGCTTCTCACAAGGCTAAAAGCTGTCAGCAAAGTTCAGTGTTACCACTACAATGTGTAAACCCATAAATCATGCAGAGACTTTCTATGCTTTCTTTGCATAGTTTATGGGTATCTACACATTGTAGTGGTGAGAGAAGAGGCTGGAGAGTGTTTTACATTATGGTAAATGTTATTGGTTTGGTATCACAGAAAGTCTCTGCATACAATATACCGGTATGAAGTTTGTTGCAGTACAAACATTTTGACAGTTACCGGTATAATAGTATGAAGAGAAATTCTGACGTAGTGGCGTTATCAATCAGGGCATCCAGCGGAGGTCGGAGTTTACTGGTGGGCGGAGATCTACAGTACACCTACCCAGTAGTCAAGCACAGCAACAGAGGGCGGAGAGGAATGATTGAGGGAATAGACGCGGCATTCTTCCAGGCACGGAGTACGGGCCAGCAAGGGGTACAGGCGATGATTACGGTTTGGATTACGCAGTTACCGTACACCGCACCTGGGCTGACATGGAGATATGGCTGCAGCGAGGGCATGGAGGCTGACTACCATACATGGGAACTCCTCTACCACTCGGGGTTTACAGAGCAGGGCAGACACTCTGGGCACGGAGGAATGGACAGTGGCTGCAGCAAGCACACAGAGCCGGGCAAGGACACACAGACCACACAGAGCTGGGCAAGTAAAAAAACTTTTTTTTTAAAGTATATGTGTAGGCTATATTTGGACCATAAGACGCAGGGACTTTTTCCCCCCACCTCTGGGGGGAAAAAAGTGCGTCTTATAGTCCGAAAAATACGGTATTTATCTTCTACAACAAACTTTGTAGCCTGGAGTGGAGTCAAGCCTCCTGCTTGCTCCATGGACACAGGCAGTTCTCTTGGGATTTATTCACCTTCTATAATTGAAACCTTGTAGCTATAAGCAGAGGCCTAGGCAGGCAAGGGCAGGTGGAAAATGTGACTTCCTTCATCGCTGGGGAAACCCAAGCCTCCCACCTGCTTTCCGTGGCCTCAGCCATCTTTGTTGTATTTGCATATTCACTGCTGATTGGCTTGTGTGTAGTGGAGGTATGGTCAATTTGCATATTACTCTTTTATTAGATAGTATGAACAAAAAGAAAGCCAGAGGGGGTAAAATATTACAGAATATAATATAAGTAATCCTATTGTTTGTAGATTTTTAATGTTTCCTACAGCTTTTTTATAAGTATATTTTATTTATTTTTTACAGGGAGGAAAGAATAAGGATAGAGAGTTAGAAACATCGATGAGAGAGAAACATCGATCAGCTGCTTCCTGCACAGCCCCCACTGGGGATGTGCCTGCAACCAAGGTACACGACCTTGAATGGAATCAAACCTGGGACCTTTCAGTCCACAGGCCAATGCTCTATCCATTGAGCCAAACAGGTTCCTGCATATTTCCTACAACTTTTGTGATACAGTTTTGGTAACCCTATCTAATAGAGTTATATGCAAATTGATCATCACTCCCACACACAAGATGGCTGTCCCCATGTGGACCCAAGATGGTGGCTACAAGAAGCTAACAGCAGGGCCGAAACTGGTTTGGTAGGAGGCGGCTGATCGATGATTCTCTCTCATTGATGTTTCTTGCTCTCTCTCCCTCTCTCTTCCTCTCTGTAAAAAATCAATAAAATATATATTAAAAAAACAAAAAACCAGCCTAAAGATGTAGAGGCAATTTTTCCAAAATTTGTACAAAGGATCAATAGGAATATAAAAAAAATGCTTTTTCTCACTAATCATGAAGGAATCTAGTAGGCTCCTTGTCACATAATAATCACAAATCCCTCCCTAGGAGTTCAGTACAGGAGGTGTTGTGATTGCAGAAAAAGAAAAGGGAAGAGCAAACAAACCAGACCTCCCAAGAACAGCAGGGCCCACAAAACTGAAAGCCAAGCAGTGAGGCCAGAGCACATCCGGGGTAAAGAGCATGAAGATGTATAATGTCAAATCTGGGACTCTGTTGAGAGTGAAAGTCTTACCCAGTGAGGATAGAAGTTCAAAGTTCTCCAGCATCACATTCAGGTACAGCTGTCTCTGACCCTCATCAAGGAGGCTCCATTCCTCCCTGGAGAAGTACAGGGCAACGTCCTCAAAGGTCACACCAACCTGTCAGAATGGAGACAATTGATTATTCAGGATTTTTAAAATATTATTTTAGTTGTAATCCCAATTTGGTCCTGGGAGGGTGTCTGCATAGCATCCAATTATACCATAGCCAATTTTAAACTCCTAGAATTGAAACTACTGAAACCAAAATTGTATTTCTGAGAACATACAATCCTACTTCTTACACATCTTCCGTGTCCTCAACCTCCTCCACGGCCTGGTTATGAGGACACCAGGCCCAAATGCCACTGCAGGCTGATCTCTCATCACAGTCCCATCACTCAGTTACTGCCCTCAGGTACAACAGAGGGTCCAGGCCCTGGGAAGGTATGCATCTAAGCTCTGGGCCATGCCTGCAGGGCCCCAGCCTTCCCACCAAGCAATACCCCTGCAGTCTCCCAGATCCTGCCTCCAAGACAAAGCCAAACCAGGGCTGATGCTTCACCCTTAATTCTCCAGGCCAGGTCCCCAACACCATCAGCTCCCACTTCCTCTTCCTCCAGATGTGCACACACTGGGTAATGCTTATCCCCTTCCCATCTTCAGTCCCAGGTTCACTCCCTCAGCTCTGCCCCCTTCCTGCTCCAATGCCACTGGGTCTCGCTGGGCTCCCCCATGAACTTGGCACATGGCATGTGAAGAAGCTCGTCTTCCAGCGGGTCCAGGACCACCCCAGGCCCCTGAGGGACCCCACAGCCGGGAGGGAAAGCCCCCATGAGACTGTGACGGCCTCCCTGCAGCCTCTGATCTGCCCGCCAATCCTCTCACCCACACCCTCAGGGGAACCTTAGAGGCCGGTCACCCCTGTCCTCTCCGCCCCGCACTGGCTGTGTCCTCAGAAGCCACCGCGCTCCTCCCTCCCCTCCGCCTTCCTCACGGTCCTCCCCGCGGGCGGAGCTGCAGGAGGGACAGGCCCGCACCGGGCTGTGGGGTGCGGGGTGAGGAGGCGGGGGGGGGGGGGGGGGGCTGGGGGACGCGCACTCACCTCAGCCCCGCGCCTCGGGGCGGGCGCCGCCATCGGACTGTGTGCGCGGAGCCCGGGGTCGGCGGCGGGGGAAGCGGCCTTCGCGGGAATGGCGGGGCCTGTCCGGGCCTCGGAGCGGGTCACCCGGGTGCGGACACCGGGCTTCACCCCCGCGAGTGCGCTGTGGGCGCCGCCACTCCCGCGCCTTCTCTGTGGGGGCATCGCCACCGGGACCCAGAGGTCTGGACCCACTTCCAAAGTAGCTGGGTGAGTCACAATGCCAGTTCTGAGGACGCCGGAAGTCCCGCCCGGAAACATCTTTTCTGACCCTTCATTGGCTAAGCTGTTGGTCTTCCGCGCAGGGTTTTCTGGGTAATGTAGTCATTGAGTCCAAGAAAGTAACAGGACCTTTGTGGGACCCAAGAATGATGTGAGCGGAAGTGGAGGCTGTTTCTGCTCAACTTCAGCCCGAAGTTAGAGGTCTAAAGAAAGAACGAAGCATGTATAATGGAATCCAACTCTGAAGACAAAAGAATTTCAAGCAATTGCCTGTAAACCTGGCTGTTTAAATTTTCAAATTTCCGTCTTTAAAAATAAAGGTTCTTTTTTTATCCTTAAAAAAAAAAAAAAAAAGTAATAGGGTTCTTTTCCACATCGCTCCTGTAGGAAACACGGAGATCAACACTACAAGCTATGAAATGTCACGTCCTCAGGAGAGACGTTGTAAAAATGGCTAAAGGAAGTTATCTTTTTCTGGTGAAGGGACTTGATTCCATTTTGATGAAGAAATTATCTGGTCTGGCCAATGTCACTGAATGGTTTAGTGTTGTCCAATGAACTAGGAGGTTATCCTTCAATTACTTGTCAGGGTACATACCCAGTTGGGCTTGATCCCCAATAAGGGACGTGCCGGAGTCAGCGGATCAATGATTGTCTCTCATCATTGTTGTTTCTGTCTCTCCCTCTCCCTTCTCCTAACTCTCTCTGAAGTCAATTTAAAAATATATATATTTTGATTTTTAAAAAATATATATTTTATTGATTTTTTTACAGAGAGGAAGAGAGAGGGATAGAGAGTTAGAAACATCGGTGAGAGAGAATCATCAAACAGCTGCCTCTTGCATACCCCCTACTGGGGATGTGCCCTACCAAGATACATGCCCTTGACCAGAATCAAACCTGGGACCTTTTAGTCCGCAGGCCAACGCTCTATCCACTGAGCCAAACCGGTTTCAGCAGAAATCAATTTTTAAAAACCCATATTTAAAAGTCACACACATTATCTATGATCCTAATATAGCACTCATAATTACAGAGGAATGCCTGCATTAAAGTGTCAATTATTTTATCATACAGATGACCTATTCACACCATCATATATGTATTTGACAAATATAACCTAAAAATGTAGGCCCAGCCTTTGATATAGTAAACATGGAATTCTCTTGTTTTATTATAATTTTAACTTCATTTAAAATAAATAAATTTTTGAAAAAGTGGGAGAGTTTGTGAACAAAAACGGACCATAAATGAAACCTGGCTTATTCCCTGGAGGCCTGAGTGGCAGGCAGCCTGAGCAACTCAGAGACTTAGGGTAAGGCTGAAATGAAATCCAACTAAAAGCAATTCATAGTGATAGTCACATCCTTGAGTAGTATTTTTGCCTAAGGAACATCAATCTTCACCTTAACTGAGCCTATCTCGAATCTTTTTACATCTTGGATAACATACCTGATAACATGCTTTTTAGAATAATAAATAATCAAGAATGTTCACTGGGCCCTAGCTGGTTTGGTTCAGGGGATAGAGGATCAGCCTGAGGACTGGAAGATCTCAGGTTCGATTCCAGTCAAGAGCACATGCCCATGCCAGGTTGTGGGTTCTATCCCAGGCAGAGGGCATGCAGGAGGCAGGCAATTAATGATTCTCTTTCATCATTGATGTTTCTCTCTCCCTCTCCCTTCTACTTTAAAATCAATAAGAATATATATTTTTTAAAATAATGTACACTGGGCCAAAAACAGCCTGCTTCAGTGGATAGAGCGTCCGCCTGCAGACTGAAAAGTCCTGGGTTCGATTCCGGTCAAGGACATGTATGTGCCTTGGTTGCGGGCACATTCCCAGTGGGGGGTGTGCAGGAGGCCGCTGATCAATGTTCTCTCTCATTGATGTTTCTGACTCTCTGTCCCTCTCTCTTCCTCTCTGTAAAAAATCAATAAAATATTTTTTTAAAAATTTTTAATTATTTCTAAAAATAATAATAATGATAATAATAAAATAATGTACACTGGGCTTGCTGGCATGGATTCAGATTGCTAGCCCCTCAGATATCACGGTTACATTGTAATTAGCTCTTTTTAACCTTCTCATTACCTTTTTTCCCCTAATACTGATTTCAGAGAGGAAAGTCGAGGGAGAGACAGAAACATCAATTATTGAAAGATCAGTCAGCTGCCAAGAACCAGGTGACACAGGCTTTATTAGAGGAGAGACCTGCCGGGCTGTCTAGCAAAGAGAGAGCCGCAGCCTGAGCAGCGGATAGAAGTCTTTTTAAGGAGAATGAGGAAGGCATGAGGGCTGGGGTGCTTGGCAAGAGCTGGGTGGTTAGCCAATGAATGCATATGTCCATACAAGGTGTTCCTTCTGGGTTGGGGCTGTATCACATTTACAGTAAGTCATGGCTATTCCAAGGACTGGTGGGTTTATCCAGGAAAAGGTGAGTCTATCAATGATGAGAATCATCCATTACTGCCCCCTGCACACCCCACCCTGGAGATCCAGATTCCCTCACAGGTGCGCTGCCCGGGAAGTGAATCCTGAGCCAAACCTGACAGGCATCCTAATGTGATCTTGGTCCTACCCCATATAGGCAGCTGGTGTATGTGGGTGGCAGAGCAGATTTTTGTGGATGACCTGCTGCCCTCCCATACTGCCAGCAGTATTGGAATAAATGTTCATCTATGATTCAACCCTGTCTCTGCTTTATCGGTTCACGTAGTGACAGGCTGACCGGGCCCATTAGTTGTCCAGTTGCATACCCACTCATGGACAAGAAGCATGTGTCTATCATTTTAATTTATGTCCAACCCTGGAGGCACTCCTCCCTTTGCTTTCTCCTGCCTCCCTAATCTATCACCCATGTATTTCACATAACCCAGTTATGCCTCCCCTTTTGGTAATAATGTGTAAAAATAAGTGCAAAATTGCCATTTCCCAGAGCATTGTACCATACCATTTGTTAGGGTTGCTGTGGGAAGAATGCACAAGGCCAAAAGGGGTGAAGAGTTATGAATTTATTATATCATCTGGAAACCCAGATAGGCTGAGCCCCCAATGGGAGCCAGCTGCAAAGACTGGGAGTCAGAGGTTTTTAAAGGACTCTAGGTGGGCTTTTTCTGGGCGCAGAATTCTCTGTGCAGGTCTGGATTGTGGGTAAGTCTGGAGGGGAGAGATAATGGTCTAAGCCAGAGTCGGCAAACTCATTCGTCAATAGAGCCAAATATCAACAGCCAAATATCTTTTGAGAGCCAAATTTTTTAAACTTAAACTTCTAACGTCACTTCTTCCAAATAGACTGGCCCAGGCCGTGGTATTTTGTGGAAGAGCCACACTCAAGTGGCCAAAGAGCCGCATGTGGCATCGCGAGCAGAAAAATACTTAGGAAAAGCAAAGTTCTCTATTTAAAAAAATATATATATTTTATTGATTTTTCACAGAGAGGAAAGGAAAGGGATAAAGAGTTAGAAACATTCATGGGAGAGAAACATCGATCAGCTGCCTCCTGCACACTCCCTACTGGGGATGTACCCATAACCAAGATACATGCCCTTGACCAGAATCGAACCCGGAACCCTTCAGTCCGCAGGCCTGACGCTCTATCCACTGAACCAAACCAGTTAGGGCAGCAAAGTTCTCTATTAAAATGGAATGTAAATCTATGGTTACTAGGAAAGCTGTGAAGAACAGGGACACATTAAAAGAGGTCAGGAAGCAAGTACACAGTGACGGATATGGTCAATATTATAAGTATAATGATAGTTACAGTGTCATGCACATGTCAAGATTTACGAAACTCTATACTTTACACATGTAATTTACTCATTATAGCTTTTGTAAAAATGGTTCAAGATAAAACAAATGTACATTCACCTAGTTTAGAATTACAGGTTTGGCAAGTCTATATTCAATCCATATTCGAATGCTCTCTGGGCGAGTTGCATCTCAGTGAAAGAAAATGTAACAAACAATGAAGACCCCACCTGAATGCTGGCTGGGTCACAAAAGCCACATCCCTGGACTACAGACAGCCTTTGTCTCCATCTTTGTCTTGCTCCCAGAGCACCAAAGGCTCTGATGGGAACAAATGAGAAGCTACAGGAACCCACAAAACCTCTTGATTACAATCAATAACAATGACCGCTCCACAAAAGATAAACATGCCTGGAGCCCTCAGATCTGTGTCCACACAGATCCTGTAGTCTTTTCTTCAACTTAATTCCTTGGTGCACATTTAGATGAGGACCATTCCATCTAATGGGCTGTGGTCCTGTCCAACAACAAGTAGGCCAGTGTTTCTGCAGTTAAAGGTTTCCCCTCACTGCGATGGTCCACTAACCAGTGACCATCACCCATGCAATTGTAGGCAAGAGGGCACATTACCCTCTGCAAGATCTGGACAAGAGATTCCCTTCAATTCCCTTCCAATGTATTGGCATCCCTTGAAATCTAGGAAAAAATTCATGCTACAAGACCTACTTGAGGTTGTCACAGCTACCCCCCCTTTGATGTGATCTCGGTGTCTCAAAACACCCATCTTCACATGAGGACTAGAGAGTCCACAGTGTTTCCTAGGAAAATATGGGCAATAACGTAAATTTGGCAAAAACTGTTAATTTTTGCACCATGTTTCCCCAAGGGCAAAAATATTTCAGACCCCATAAATGTTTTTTCACCTGATCATGCTTGGAGAGGCCAGATCTCATTATAAACTAGCCGTAGAGTAAAGAGCATACCCCAGATTAAAAAGACTTAGGAAAAAGCCTTCATTATTTTACAAACCAAAGAGACCTGAGACTGGCCGTTCTCCCATTGATGACTTAGGCACTCCATAAATTCTTCATTAGCATCTAGGAAAAGTGTGTCCCTGACAATGGCAATCAACATTATCTTTACTGGCGCCAATAGCAATCAGTCCTATGTGGCAATTCATGACAAGGAAACAAGTAAGAACTAAGGACTCAGGTATTCCTAATTTTCTTCAACAAATCAGACAACAGAGTTAGCTTCCCTGGGCACATGAGGATGGTGATTGATGCCATCTGTAGGGACCTTATAGGTGGTTCAGGTAAAATACCTTCAGGAATAGAAATATGCAGTGATACAGATCTGGCAGAACATCTCTGTATGTTAGAAAGTGCAACACAGATACATATGATACAACATAAAAACAAACACAACAATATAGTCACTTGAGGGGACTTTATGTAATGTAGGTGATTAAATGTATGAGATACAATTCAGACTAAAAAGATTTCACACATTTTCTTACACTATTGCGAAGACGGAACTAAGAGACATTTCCTTCACTTCTAAGAATTTTCTCACATTTGGACTCATAGGTGCAGAGCCAATTTAAAAATTTGGCTGAGGGACAGCTCACATTACTTGCACTCATAATGGCTTTCTCCAGTGTGAACTCTCTGATGATACAGGAGATGACTGCTCCTGGTAAGAGATTTCTCACATTCACTGCATTTATAAGGCTTTTCTCCTGTGTGAACTCTCTGATGACAAAGAAGGTACCTGCTGGTGGTGAAAGATTTCTCACATTTACTGCACTCATAAGGCCTTTCTCCAGTGTGAACTCTCTGATGAAGATTAAAATCACTGCTCCTGGCAAATGATTTCCCACATTCACTACATGTATAAGGCTTTTCTTCAATGTCAAAACTTTGATTATGGAGACCACTGCTCTTGATAAAAAATTTCCCACATTCACTGCACTCGTACGGACTTTCTCTGGTGTGAAATCTCTGGTGGCAATGAAGGCTATCAATTCTCGTAAAAGATTTCCCACAGTCACTGCATTTATAAGGCTTTTCTCCCGTGTGAACCCTCTGATGACGATGAAGCTCACTGGTGGTGGCAAAAGATTTCCCACACTCACTGCATTGATGAGGTTTTTGCCCCGTGTGGCCCCTCCGATGGCGACAAAGGGCATTGCTCCTGGTAAAAGATTTCCCACATTCTCTGCACTCATAAGGACTTTCTCCAGTGTGAAATCTCTGGTGATAATGAAGGCTATCAATCCTCTTAAAAGATTTCCAACATTCACTGCATTTGTAAGGCTTTCCTCCAGTGTGAAGTCTCTGATGGCGACGAAGGGCAGCGTTACTGGTGAAAGAATTCCCACACTCACTGCACTCATAAGGCCTTTCTCCAGTGTGAAATCTCTGGTGACTATGAAGGCTGTGCATCGTTGAAAAAGATTTCCAACATTCACCGCATTTGTAAGGCTTTTCTCCATGTTCAGAATGAACGCCTGAAAACTGGGTCAAGTAATTTCCACATTCACAGCCAAGAAAGCACTGACTTCCAGCATGGACACACTTGTCCTGAGTAAACGTGTGATTGCAGCCAATGGCTTTGTTATATTCTGTCCTTTGAGACTTCATCCCACATTTCGAAATATCTTCTGGCCTATCTCTGGTCTGAGCAGGCTCCCCACAGGTGAAATGACTCTGGGACACATGGCAGCTGTGTGCAGGTGAGATCCTGTCCGCGCCTCTAAAGAAAGCTTTCTCTCTCACATGCTGCTGGTGAAGTTTGGCACTGAAATAAAATCCTTGTGCACAGGCCCCACACCTCAGCAGTAACCGTCTGTGTTGATTTCCCGGCAGCTCAGTCAAGTGAAAAATGTTTCCCAAGACGAGACCACAGCTCTCACAGGGGTGGCCCTCCTGGGAAGACAAGGCTACCTTGGGATTCCTTGCCTGTGACACTCTTACAGAAACCTTCTGCTCAGACGGAGCCTCCACATTCTCTGTGCCACAGCAGCAACCTGAACAAAAGGAAAAGCTGATGAAGTACATTTGACCTTATGAAAACAGAGTATCTTCACCACAAATGTTTATCTGTCACGACTAGGCCTGATTCCATAAAATGATTTTTAAGACAAGTGAGTTAGATCCTGAGGAAATGGCTGCTATACATTGCTTGGCCCTAAAGTCAGTCAATGGTGAAAATCTCACCAAGCGAGGGACAGAGCACAGGATGGGATAGAAAGAAGAGAGGAAGACAGAAACCAGTTTGGCTCAGTGGATAGAGCGTCAGCCTGTGGACTGAAAGGTCCCAGATTTGATTCTGGAATAGGCATATACCTTGGTTGTGGGCACATCCCCGTGCAGGAGGGAGCTGACCGATGTTTCTCTCTCATCGATGTTTCTAACTCTCTATTCCTCTCTCTTCCTCTCTGTAAAAAATCAATAAAATAGATTTTAAAAAAAGAAAAAAGGAGAGAAGAAGGGTCTGCTAGTTGTTCCTCCACAAATGGTTTCCTTTAGGACCTTTCATGCTGGTGAAGTGAATCTATGTAGAATAATTTGAATGTAAAATAAAAATCAATTGCATTAGAGCAGTAAAAGGTGTGCACTGTAAGGATCTGCAGGCATGGACCAATGGTGGAGGGCACTAAAGAGAGACCGGTGAAAGAGGTAGAGGTGAAAAGTTTAGAAAGGTTAAGTTATCCATGGACTGGGAATCCAAGTAGAGTGAGCACTGATCATTATTAAAACAGTCGTTGGCACAGTGTCAACAATAAACAAGAACAAGTAGAATTGGGTGAGGAATGGGCAATGGTAACAAAACACCTGTTGAACCAAATGGGTTCCTAGTTATGAATGTAACAAAGCCCAGGTGTTTGGTTACAGCCTGTTGCCAGAGGCCAATTCCAGCATGTCATAATTGCAAGAGTTTCATCAGAAGGTTGATGGAACTTGGGGACTCAACAAGGGCGGAGTCACATATGTTATAACCTGTTGGGAATGGCTAAAGATATTTCCCCAAACCTAAAAAGAATTATTGTTTCCTGCCAAACAGCTCAGGGCATCTTAAATATATTTTATTGATGTTTTTACAGAGAGGAAGGGAGAGGGAGAGAGTGTTAGAAACATTGATGAGAGAAATATCAATCAGCTGCTTATTGCACACCCCCCACTGGGGATGTGCCCACATCAAGGTACATGCCCTTGACTGGAATCAAACCTGGGACCCTGAATCCACAGGCCAACACTGTCCACTGAGCCAAACTGGCCAGAGAAGGGCATCTTAATCTACATGCTATTGCCTCCTACTGGCCAAATTCCTGAAGAGGTGTAGGCTATTCCCCAATCTGACAATGCTTCTGTACAAAACCCTACCCTTTGAAGTGTATTATCTCCACCTTGCCTTAGGACAATTTGTGATAATAAAACGCAAGGGGTCCTGAGACAAGAAGAACTTGGTTTCCTCAGCCAGTCTCCTCTGACCCCCAATGTCCTTCAAAATTATCTTTCATCTCTGGTCTCCTATTTAATCTATCCTCAACTCTTCTCCAGATTCCAAAACCCTTCTATTAATATATTTTATTGATTTTGTACAGAGAGGAAGGGAGAGAGATAGAAACATCGATGAGAGAGAGTCATTGGTCAGCTGCCTCTTGCACACCCCCTATTGGGGATATGCCCACAACTAAGATACATGCTCTTGTCCGGAATCGAACCCGGGACCCTTCAGTCCCCAAGCCGACGCTCTATTCATTGAGCCAAACTGGTCTCGGCTCAGAACCCTTCTAGATGCCGGATCAAGACCCACTGGCATCAACGTCCAGCAGCCCATTATTCAGGCAAAACCGCCTGTGTCCACTGTGTCTTTTATAAAGTCATGTTTCTACTGTGATGCAGAAATGATTCTTCTGCTTAATTCCCAATTGATCCATTGCACAGGGTAAATGACAGAAATAATAGAAGAAACATTGAAAAAATGGATGGTCAGCAATGTGGTACAATAGCACAGCACAGATGAGATCACAGCAAAAGACCTATGTGAGTAACATCAGCAAGATGACAGGATCAGAGATATGAGAATCTTTCCCCATCCCAGAGTAAATAGACAGTTATAAAAAAAACTCACAGGAGTGCTAGCCAGTTTAGCTTACTGGATAGAGTATCAGGCTACAGACAGAAGGGTCCTATGTTCGATTCTGGCCAAGGACACTCGCCCCGGTTGCAGGTTCAATCTCCAATGGGAGTGTGCAGGAGGCATCTGATTAATGATTCTCTGTCATCATTGATGTTTCTAACTGTCTCTCCCTCTCTCCTTCCTCTCTGAAATCAATAAAGAAATATATATATCTATATATATCTATATAGATATATATATTAAAAACCCATAGGAAATGGGAATAGGAGTACAATGAAGCCGAAACCGATTTAGTTCAGTGGATGGAGCGTCAGTCTGCGGACTGAAAGGTCCCAGGTTCAATTCCGGTCAAGGGCATGTACATTGGTAGCGGGCACATCCCCGGTGGGGGGTGTACAGGAGGCAGCTGGTCTATGTTTCTCTCTCATTGATGTTTCTAGCTCTCTATCTCTCTCCTTTCCTCTCTGTAAAAAATCAATAAAATATATAGTATATTTTTTAAAAGAGTATAATGAAGACAAACAGTAATACAGAAAATCAAATAAGGACAATTGCATAGTAAGAATACTGGAAAGATGTGGTGAACAAATATATTTGAAGATAGCTACAGTCAAAAACAATGGTCAGAGTTACCTCCATCAACCATTATGCTTCTGCTATCATTGACCATAGTGACCTGTTATTAGAAAAATACTGGAAATATTGATTTTAAAAACCACAATATGGCCCCAGCCGGTTTTGCTCAGTGTCCAGAGCATAGGTCTGTAGAATGAATAGTCCCAGGTTCAATTACAACCCTAGGGTCCCAGGTTGTGTGCTCGACTGAAGGTGTGCAGGAGGCAGTTAATAAATGATTCTTCTCATCATTAATGTTTCTATCTCTCTCTTCCCTTCCCTTCCTCTCTGAAATCAATAAAAAACAACCACAGCCGAAACCGGTTTGGCTCAGTGGATAGAGCGCAGGCATGCGGACTGAAAGGTCCCAGGTTCGATTCCGGTCAAGGGCATGTACATTCGTTGCAGGCACATCCCCAGGAGGGGGTGTGCAAGAGGCAGCTGATCGATGATTCTCTCTCTCTTCCTCTCTCTAAAAAATCAATTAAAAATATATATATATATATATTTAAATTAGCCTGTTATAAAAAAAAAATCAAAACAAAAAAAAAAACACCACAGAATACCCACTTCAGAGTGGCTCAGTTAGTTCGAGCGTGATCCTGTGACCCGAGGGGTCTTAGATTCGATGCCCAGTCAGGGCACATATTAGTATGTAGGTTCCATTTCCAGTTGGGACACATGTGTAGACAACCAACTAATGTTTCTCCCTCACACTGATGCCTCTCTCTCTCTCTTCTTCTTCATCTCCATCTCTCTTCCTCTCTATCTTGAATTGAATATATATTAAAAAAAATATTCCAGAGTAGCCAAATAAAAATGAGAACTCAAAAGGGTCTAAAGACAAAGTAAATGAAAAGGCAGCCTACCAAAGCTCATGTATAAAATTCAGAAAATGAAATTCTAAGAGGCAATTTTATAGGGATAAGTGCCCACATTATTTAAAAAAAATCTCCAAAAATTCTGGCACCTCAGAAAACTAGAAACAAAACAAGAAAATAAACCCAAAGGTTGAAAAAGAAACAAATAATAAATATTAGAACAAACATAAGTAATAAGGAAACAAGACAAAATACACAAATACCTAACATGTATTTTTTGAAAGATACAAAATTGGAAAAACTTGCTGAAACAGTTTGGCTCAGTGGATAGAGCGTCAGTCTTCAGACCAAAGAGTCCCAGGTTTGATTCTGGCCAAGGGCATATGCCTGGGTTGCAGGCTTGAGCCCAAGTAGGGGGCATGCAGGAGGCAGCCCATCAATGATTCTCTCTCAACATTGATGTTTCTCTCTCTCCCTCTCCTTTCCTCTCAGAGATCAATTAAAAAAAGAAAAAGAAAAAAAAGAATGAAATACAGATAATCCTCGAGTTACATCAGACTCAACGTACGTCGTTTTACAGTTGGTTACATCGCCATCCCCAATTTATTTATCTATCTCCCATTTATTTATTTTTTAAAAAAAAGTCCCATAATTTTACGTATGTACATATGTGCTTTATGTTTTTTATTATTTATTTACCACAAGTAAATGTTAGGAATTGTTACAACACATAAATCTAATAAGTCTTGTTTGAAAACTACACAATGCTCAAAAAAAAAAAAGTTAGGAATTGTTATCTTTCTTTTAAGTTTTTTTTTTTATTGTTTCACTTCATTACTGCCGTGTATGTGCTCCATGTGAGTGACGGAGGTGTAGGGGGGTTAGGTGATTTGGGTTAGGAGGTGTAGGTGATTTTCACTTAACGGCGAAAATCAGTTACAACAACGTAGAAATGGATCTCCAACGTAACCCGAGGATGTACTGTATGCCTACATGAACCATGTTTTAACACTGCACAGGAAATAAGGCTTTATTATTCCCTTTCATGTGTGACTTTTCTTATTTTTTAAAAAAATTTAAATGTTTTTCTTTATTGATTTCAGAGAGGAAGGGAGAGGGAGAGAGAGAGAGAAACATCAATGATGAAAATCACTGATTGGTTGCCACTTGCACACCACCTACTGGAGATCAAACCCACAATGCAGGCATGTTCCCTTGGCTGGAATTGAACATGGGACCCTTCAGTCCATAGGCCGACAACCTATCCACTGAGCCAAACTGGCTAGGGTTATGTGTACTTTTCATAAAAAAATATGCAAGGTGGGACGAAAGAATGTTTACAGTTGTTGATTTTGAAAATAGTCAGGGCTACTTAGAATCTTATGTTGGCGATTACCTTCATTTAGTGCATTCCATTGTTCTTGTGGAAGCTGATACACTGTGAGTAGTCATGTATGTGTGTATGTAAAAATGTTTATTAACCTGTTAACCTGGGAGTTCCCTTTTTAATGACGCAACCTATAACGGGTGCGTATTCTTTCACTAGGACGTGTCATATTATTTTTTTTTATTTATACTTAATGAAAATAAATGAAAAATATATATTTTTTCGTTTATTTATATATATAAAGCACAAAGGAAAATACAAAATTACAAAAAAAAATAGAAAAGAATACCAACAAAAAAAAATGGACACGTCAAATTATTGTAAAAAATTATAAATTTTACAAACAATGATAAAGATTACAAAAAATAGCTGAAACCAGTTTGGCTCAGTGGTATGTCAGGGGAAGGTACCTTGGTTGCTGGCCCATCCCCAGTGGAGGGTGTGCAAGAGGCAGCTGATCGATGTTTCTCTCTCATCTCATTGATATTTCTAACTCTCTATCTCTCCCCTTTCCTTCCTCTCTGTAAAAAAAATCAATAAAATATTTTTTTTTTTAAATTACAAAAAATATATACCGTCCCTCTTGGGGCGCATCATATATTTCAAGGACGTATTCATACGTCCTACTCGTTCCTGATATTGTTTACGTTTGACGTATTTAGAGGTCCCGCTCGGTTAACAGGTTAAAGTGATTTTATTAGTATTATGTTCTAATCCTATCCAATAAAACAGTAGTATGCAAATTAACCACCACTCCACTACACCCACAAACCACGCTCACAAGCCAATCAGAGTGAGTATGCAAATTAACCACAATGAAGATGGCTGCAGCCTCAGAGACCAGGAGGGAGGTTTGGGTTCCCTTGAAGCCAAGCTTTCCACATACCCTAGCAGGCTCAGGCCTTCATTCAAGGGTACAAAGTTTCAATTATAGAAGGTAAATAAATTCCAACAGAAATGGCAGCAGCAGGAGCTAGAAGAGCAGGAGGCTAGGGTTACTCCCGGCCATGGAGGCAGTCAAGCTTTTGCAGCCCTGGCCTGCCCAGGCCTTCACTCTAGGCTACAAAATTTCAATAATAGATGATACATAAGTTCCAACTGAAATTGCTGCCACCACAGAGCGAGCAGGAGGCTTGGCTACGCTCCAGGCTACAAAGTTTCAAGTGTAGATTACCTTTATTTGGTGCATTCCATTGTTCTTGTGGAAGTTGATACACTGTGAGTAGTCCTGGCAGGAGGAGGGAAGCCCAGGTCCTGGCAGCCAGAGGGAAGCCCCAGTCCCAGGAGCCAGCAGGTGGAGGGGAGGGAAGCCCCGGTGCTGGTAGCCAGTGCAGGCAGCCAGGGGAAGGAAGGCCTACCCTTGCATGATTTTCGTGGATCGGGCCTCTAGTTTGTAATAAAATGTAAAGGTGAATCCTATACATGTTCAATAGAAATCATATCTTAAAGCTAAAAAAATACTGTATTGCTAAGCACTAGTAACAAGCACCTGAGCTTCCTCGAAAAATGGTGGCACTAGACCTGCTGAATGCACCTTTGCCAAAACATGGAATTTATATAAAAAAGGAGTGTGGGAAGCAATATCTGCAAAGCACAATTAATCGCATGCAAAAATATGTGTTCCTGTATGTAATACACAGTTAATATATAAAATATACAAGGTATTTAAAAGACTCTTTCACCAAAAAAATACAGTTAATAAACAGGATAAGGATGTAGAGACAATTCTTTAAAAAGTAGGTACAGCTCTAACCGGTTTGGCTCAGTGGATAGAGCATCGGCCTATGGACTAAAGGGTCCCAGGTTTGATTCCAGTCAAGGGCAAATCCCCAGTAGGGAGACTGAAGGAGGCAGCTGATCAATGATTCTAACTATCTATCCCTCTCCCTTACTCTCTTAAAAAAAAAATTAATTAAATATATATATATTTAAAAATAAGTACAAATATCCAACATGAATATAGAAGACAGGCTTCCTGCAACACTACCAACCACAAGTCCTATCCTGTGAATGTAGTCCAGCGAGGAGAAGTGGGACTTCAGGAACAGAAGGGAGGAGGGGAAATAGACCAACCCTCCCCAGGATAGCAACTACCCAGGAAACTGGATCAGACAAGCAGAACCACAGTATACATGGGAGGACAGCACACCCTGGGGGATGGGGACTGGGAAATCCCAAAGCCAAGTGCAGGTCACTGGTGACAGTGAGGGTCTTACCCAGCGAGGATACAAGTTCAAAGTTCTCCAGCATCACATTCAGGTACAGATGCCTCTGAACCTCATCCAGGAGGCTCCATTCCTCCCTGGAGAAGTACAGGGCAACGTCCTCCAAGGTCACGCCAACCTGTCAGAATGGAGACAATTGACACCAGTGTTGTCTCTCTGAGAAGCAGTAATTGTACTCCTTGCACATCTTCCCCGCCTCAACCTCGTCCAGGACACCCAGTTAGTGTGGACACCAGGCCCTAATGCCAATGCAGGCTGCTCTCCCATCACAGTCCCATTACTTACTGGGATTGCCCTCAGCTGAGCAGCTGGGTTGGGTGGGAAGGATTGGGGGAGGGGAGGCAAGAGAGCAAGGCCATTTAAGCTCTGGGCGATTCCTACAGGGCCCCAGCCTTCCTGCCTAGCAATTCCACTGCAGTCTCTCAGACCATGCCTCCAAGACAAGAGTGAGTTTATGCTTCACATTTAAGTCCCCACACCAGGTCCCTGGAACCATCAGCTCACACTCCCTCCAGAGGTGCACACACTGGGTAATTTTTATCCCCTTCCCATCTTCAGTCCCAGGTTCACTCCCTCGGCTCTGCCCCCTTCCTGCTCCAATGCCACTGGGTCTCGCTGTGCTCCCCCATGCATTTGGCACATGGCATGTGGAGAAGCCTGTCTTCCAGCGGGTCCAGGACCACCCCAGGCCCCTGAGGGACCCCACAGCCGGGACAGCCCCCGTGAGGCTGTGACGGCCTCCCTGCAGCCTCTGATCTGCCCGCCAATCCTCACAGCCACACCCTCAGGGGAACCTCGGAGGCCGGTCACCCCTGTCCTCTCCGCCCCGCACTGGCTGTGTCCTCAGAAGCCACCGCGCTCCTCCCTCCCCTCCGCCTTCCTCACGGTCCTCCCCGCGGACGGAGCTGCAGGAGGGACAGGCCCGCACCGGGCTGTGGGGTGCGGGGTGAGGAGGCGGGGGGCCTGGGGGACAGGAACTCACCTCAGCCCCGCGACTCAGCACCGGCTCCGCCATCGCGCTCGTAGTCCCAGCGGGGCCGGTGCAGAAGCCGCGGCAGGAATGGCGGGGCCTGCCCCGGCCCTGGCGGGGGTCCGGGCGGTGACTCCGAGCTTCAATCCCAGGTGTGAGCGCTGAGCACCACGGGAGGCTGCCGCCGTGGGCTGTGAGGCGGGGACACCACTGTCCACCTTCTCCACTGGACTCCGTGACCAGGAAATACCCACCGCTTAGGTTAAAAATGGAGAAAAAACTACAAGTTCCGCCCTCCAAAACTTGAAAACCGGAAACGCCTTTTCTGAACTCCCATTGGCGCAGCCTGGTGGCATTCCACGCCCGGCCTTGTGGGTAATGTAGTTCCTACGCGCATGGCCAGGATCTTGTATATTTGCTCAGCTGACTGCGATTGGTTTTGAGGGCAAATAGCCTGAGAACACACCAAGTATAATCAGAGCCCTCCAGCACCTTCAGGGGAGGTGATTTCTAGGGCAAGTTTGTTTCAGGGGGACGTGCCTGGCTTCCTTTAGCTGCTGGTTTTGCTTATCTTTCTTCAGAACCTGCTTTTTTCTGAATGAACAGGCATTGTGTCTTCATTTAAAGGCCATTAGGCATCTGTCTCCTTCAGGCCAACTGTAGCTTGCAGAGGTTGCTTAAGTGACTAACTAATCTAACCTGCCTCCATTTTGCAAAGTTCATGTCTCAAAAGAGACATCAATATTTAAAAGCATTTTCTTCTGGGGCCAGTTAAAGTGTCAGCTCTGCCTGGGCTGCAGTGTGGATAAGATGGCCAAGAGACATGTGGGGGGGGGGGGAATGCTCAAAGTGACTGATCATCAGAGAGATGCAAATTAACCCAACAATTAGAATGGCTACCATCTGTCAGAATGGCTACCATCAACAAATGATGAGTGCTGGGGAAGATGTGGAAAAAAAGGAACCCTAGCACAGTGAGGACCTCAGTTGTGGCCCAGCGTGCTGTGCACTGCGATGAGGGCTTATATTCAAAAGGGCTCTGGCCCTAACCAGTTTTGCTTAGTGGATTTTCTCTGAAATTCAGATAAAATTTCCCCGAAAATCCCAAAGTATGTTATCCTAGATGCAAAAATACAATAGATAGGCTCAATAAGGTAAAGATAGCCCTTTGCAAAAAAGTAACAACAAAAAAATAAAACCAAGGCCAGGACATTACTATTGCTTCAACTTACAAAGTTTTCATTTCAAACCATCCTATATGGAAGCTTTTGGCCTCTGAGTTTGTAAGATTGCCATGCTATGCCAAGCTCCCTCAGCTTGACAGGTATAGTTTGTGCCATCGTTTTTGTCCGTACTGGGAGTTAGAACCGGTGGGTTGAGAAGAAAATCCAATGAGTAGTTTCCTTCCTCTGGGACCTATTGCTGACATCCTTCTGAACACAATGCCCACAGTATTGCTGATGTCTTTTTTTTTTTTAAATATATGTATTTTATTGATTTTTTACAGAGAGGAAGGGATGGGGAGTGCTAGAAACATCGATGAGAAACATCAACCAGTGGCCTCCTGCACACGTCCACCAGGAATGTGCTCACAACCAAGGCACACTCCCCTGACCGGAATTGAACCCAGAACCCCAGAGGCTGCAGGCCGAAGCTCTATCCACTGAACCAAACTGGTTAGGGCGCTGATGTCTTGTCTTTTTTTTTCTTTTTTTAATATATTTTATTGATTTTACACAGAGAGGAATTGAGAGGGATAGTTAGAAATGTCAATGAGAGAGAGTCATCGAACAACCGCCTCCTGCACACCCCCACCGGGGATGTGCTTGCAACCAAGGCGTGTGCCCCTGACCGGAATCAAACCCGGGACCTTCCAGTCCGCAGGCCGACACTCTATCCACTGAGCCAAACCGGTTTCAGCTGATGTCTTTTTATTTGATCTCTTAGTAGTAGTCACTCTTCAGGTCAATAAAGCCTTGGGTTCTAAATGTGATCAGGTATTTGTAAGGACAAGGAGAAAGGTCTTACTGTTTCTTTTCTGTGACCTTCCAAAATTTATGAGAAGCACCTGCTAATTAAACCCCAAGATTGTTGGCTCCTCTGATTCAAACACCTGCTCTGTTCAAACTGCAGAACAAGATAAGCTACCGTACTCTCAAGGCTACATTCTTGTATACCCCTCCTGCCTGCTGCTGTCACACCTCAGGGATAATCTGCACCGAGTGGTCTCTAGTTAGTAGAAAGTTTCTTTCCCATCACCCCCTCAAACGAGACTCTTTGGAACCCTTCATAACTTTTGCTCTAAGCATAATTTACAGTCTTGAGAAAAATAATGACACCTCCCTAGGACATTTGCCAGACTCTCCTGGAAAGCAAAGAAACAGTAACTTAAAGCCACTCCTGCCAAAACCGGTTTGGCTCAGGGATAGAGCGTCAGCCTGCAGACTGAAAGGTCCCAGGTTCGATTCTGGTCAAGGGCATGTACTTTAGTTGCGGGCACATCCCCAGTAGGGGGTGTGCAAGAGGCAGCTGCCGATGTTTCTCTCACATCGATGTTTCTAACTCTCTATCCCTTTCTCTTCCTCTCTGTGAAAAATCAAAATATATTAAAAAAGAAAAAAAAAAAAGTCACTCCTCGTCCTAACTGATTTGGCTCAATGGGTAGAGACTGAAAGTCGGAGGTTCGATTCTGGTCAGGGGCATGTGCCTTGGTGGTGGGCACATCCCCACTGGGGGGCATGCAGGAGGCAGCTGATCTCTATGTTTCTCTCTCATCAATGTTTCTAACTCTCTATCCCTCTCCTTTCCTTTCTGTGGAAAATCAATAAGATATGCTTAAAAAAAAAAAAAAAGCTCCTCATATCTACCCACCTTCAGCACAGCCCAAGGCCCCTCCATTCTTTGTCCCTTAGCTACAGCCACTGCTGGAAAGCAGGAGCCATCCTTTCCTCCCTACCCTGTACTGACTAGCAACTCTTGGCCCTTTCCTCTCTTGGAAAGTAAACTTTCCCTCTGCATCTCTTCTTCTTTTTTTAAAAAAATATATTTTTATTGATTTTTAAAAATATATATTTTATTGGCTTTTAACAGAGAGAAAGGGAGAGAGAGAGCTAGAAACGTCGATGAGAGAGAAACATCGACCAGCTGCCTCTTGCATACCTCCTACAGGGGATGTGCCCGCAACCAAAGTACATGCCCTTGACCAGAATCGAACCCGGGACCTTTCAGTCTGCAGACCGACACTCTACCACTGAGCCAAACCGGCTTCGGCTATTGATTTTTTTTTTTTTTACAGAGAGGAACAGAGAGGGATAGAGAGTTAGAAACATCAATGAGAGAAAATCATCGATCAGCTTCCTCTTGCATACCCCGTACTGGGTATGTGCCCACAACCAAGGTACATGCCCTTGACCAGAATCAAACCCAGGACCTTTCAGTCCGCAGGCCGACGCTCTATCCATTGAGCCAAACCGGTTTCGGCTGCATCTCTTCTTCTAGGTGTGAATTCTTCCACAGCCCGCATCATGGCACAGACCCTAAAAGGATTCTTTTATTCTTAGGAGTTAAATGGGTGAAAATGAGGGAAATGACATTGTAGAAGCAAAATAATATTTCCTTCTTCTTTTCCAGGTTCTTTGACTGGCCTAATAATTAAATAAATATGGATTAATGAGAGAAAACAACCCAAAAGTTATTAACATGTATACCTCCATATACATGGAAACGACTCAGAAAAATGGAGTAACTGGCCCAAATGGCAAACACCTTCACCTCAAAAACCACCTTCACCAGAAAATGGGTGTGGAGAGTCAGTTAGGGTAGAGTGTCAGGAAAAGCACACTAAGCACCTCCCTCGTGGCCCAGTGCGCTGTGGACTGCGGGGAGGGCCTGTATTCATAAGCATTTTGTTCCAACCCAAACTCCATGGTGCAGACACAGGAGAGTGGGAAGAAGGATGTGAATCCAGAACATGATCCGGGCTGCAGGGAAAACATGGTGAGAGCCATTGTCTCATTCAGCCAGTAGGGATATAGAGGACAGAGTCACATGGGCCGAGGGTCCTATGCATGAAGAAGCGGTTAGCACCCATCCAATGAGACCAGGATCATGTAGGACTCCAGCATCACTTCCAAAAATTAGGTCCCAGAATTCATGTCCATTGCCAGCTCTCCTACAGGGTGAATGTCAGTGCCACATAGGATCAGCATTTGAAGGTTCAAATTGAGACACAAAATCCATGACAGTGAATGGGGTCACAGACACCCAATATGTGAGCGCAGGTGCAGAGACTCGAGCCCAATTTACCGAGGTCTCCTGGGGGTCAAATTCTGTGTTGTGAACAAGGGGAAGGCAGACAAATAGCAGGTCACTCTGAGAGAAGGTTGCCCTGGAGCAGTGGTCAGCAAACTCATTAGTCAACAGAGCCAAATATCAACAGAACGACGATTGAAATTTCTTTTGAGAGCCAAATTTTTAAAACTTAAACTATAAAGGTACATACATTGTTATTAACTTAATTAGGGCACTCCGAAGCTGGCCTTTGCTAAAATCTCAAGGGGTCACAGACCTGCATGTGGCTCGAGAGCCTCGGTTTGCCGACCACTGCCCTGGAGAAACCACTGTAGCTAAGAAATGATGGCGTTCCCCTGAACACGGGGAGGCCAAGGGTCAGAGCTCTGAGATGTAAAGGGAACAGGAGGAAACGCACAACTGCAACCATGGAAAGAGGAGCTGCAGCTGAGGCACCCTGGTCCTCACCCTGTACCTGCTCCAGGGAGGGCTGCTCATCAGTGGTAGAGACTGTGTCTGGCGCTGGAGAAAATAATGGTTAAAATCTGGCCCCTTGAATCTCACACTTGTCTGTGGCATAAACTTGGGGAGCTGACTTCATTTCTCTGATACGGATTGTTTTAGCAATTGATAGGAGC